GACAGGTTCGTCGACCAGTGCCTGTGGAAGGTCCTCGGGGTGAGGCGCGTCGACGACTGGAGTGTGCTCCTGGAAGCCGACGATCGGCCAGACGAGCGTGGCCAGACTAGGGGGCCACATGCGAACCCTACCCCTACCCCCCAGGATTTCTGAGGGGGAGGGTGGGGTTCATTTCTGAGGGGAGGGTGAGCGAAGTGAACCCCACCCTCCCCCTCAGAAATCCTGGGGGGTTAGGGGTAGGGTTCGCATGTGGCCCCCTACCAGACGAGCTGCCAGGACGCGAGGTTCGCGGCCTTCCACCCGCGCAGGTCGCCGGCGGAGTGGTGGCGGTGCCACCAGGGCGCCGCGCGGGCGCCAAACGTCACTGCGTCGTGAGAGCCGGAGGCCGGGCACCGCGCGGAAGGCCCGGTGTCCCCGCCGGCCGCCGCGGGCGTCGGATGCCGCGGGCGCGAACCGGCGCCCCGGGGCAGAGGGCACCCTCGCGCCGCGCCGCCGCCGCCACTCCCCCTGCCGCCCTGCTGCCCTGCTGCCCTGGCCCTGGCCCTGGCCCTGGCCCTGGCCCTACCCTCCTCCCCCCCTCGGGGGCGCAACGATGGGGGGCGACAGGCACGGGGAGGGGGGGTGCATCGACCCCCAACCGCCCACTGACCGCCGACAGGGACCCGATTGCCCCAGCCCGCCCAGGAAGGTGTGGATTCACTCTCGGGGGCCCATCGCCGATCTGTCGACGATGTATCGCCGATTCCAGGTCGATGCATCCCCCCTCCGCCTATTCCCTTCTGTCGTTGCCCCTTCCCCCCTTGCCGCGCGGCCCGGGACTCCCGAAGCGTCCTCGGCCTATCCTGGCTGGAGGCCTCTACCGAGGGCCCTCCCGCGGTGCAGGAGGTGCCCTCGGCGGGAGCAGGTCTCCTGCTCAAGCAGTGGCGAAGCGTCCTGGCTCGCCTATAGCCCTACCAAACAATGTTCTAAGAACCTTTTGTGGTTTCCACGACATGTTCTTAGAGCACTTCTGGTGGAGTCTGTCTTGTTTGAACACATCGGGTCGATGTTCTAAGAAAGTTGTTTTTGTTCTCAGAACATTTTTGGGTTCTAGGAACACTTCGTGGTAGGACTATAGGAGTGCCGGGACAGTCGGCCCCTGCTCAACCTGCTCTCCTGCCTGCGCCCTGCTGCGGGAACCACGCTGGTGGCGCAGAGCCCTCTCTCCGCTCCTCCACTCGCCGGGGGCCCGAGGAGCGCCGGCGCGCGGCAGCCTCGCGCTCGCCCTGGAGTTGGAGGGCCAAGCCCACCTGCTTCCAGAGGGCCAAAACCTCGGGCCGATGCCAAGTGCCCTCCTTCACGCTCTAGCCAAAGGCGCCTGTGGACACAGTGGGTGCCGTGACGTCCACAGACACTCTCAGGGTGGATACGTCCATGGGCCACGCGGCCGTTGCGTTCGGCGCGGTGCAGGGTCGGAGAAAGGGTCGATCCGTCTGCGGTGTGTTCCTGTTTGAGAGCAGGCCCCATGCGGTGCTCCAACCCTGGAGGCCTCCAGCTCTGCCGCGTCCGGCACGTGGCCGCCGCAGATGGAGGCCGTCCGCGACGGGCTCGTCCTCGTCGCCGAGCACAGGTCGGCCCCGCCGCACGCGCGGCGATCCTGCGCCGCACCGCGGTGGTGACGGCCGGAGTCCGAGGCCCGAGAGGGGCGCCCGCGTGCCGCTCGGCGGGCGCGCGGCGCGCCTGGCGCTGTGGGCGGAGGTCTGGGCAGCCTGGGCCTGGCGAGCGGGCTGCTGCAGGCTGCGGAGCGCTCCGGGGCCGTCGTGGCGCCGACCTCTGCCCAGGGACCGGCCGTGGACGGCCGTGGTCGGCTTGCCCTTCCAGGCGGGCAGGTCCCTCTGCGGGGGGGGGGGGGGGAAGCTCCAGGAAGAGTAGGACAGGGGTCCCTGGTGGCGATTTGTTTGTGCTCTGTCGTTTTTTTTTTTTTTGTTTTGTTTGTTTCTTTCTGATTTTTCGTCCAAAATCCGCCTGTAGGATTGTGGAAGTCGATTAATGGAGAGGAAGCATGCTGCCAAGTAATTTCCAGATGTCTAAAAGATGTTTCAAACATGTTCTTAACATGTACAACTACATGTTTGAAACATTATTCGAATATGTTTCATCACACATTTTGATCATCTTTAGTTCAATGATCGGATTGTTGGAGTGCCCACGATCATGGCATCGAAGGATATGCCCGACCTAAGGCGTGCCTCTGCGGTCCCTCCAGCCGCGGGAGGCCGTCGGCGCGCCGGGCGGTGGCGTCGAGCGTGGGGTTGCCCCGCGGCGTTGCCCGCCTTCTGGCAGGCCTTCCAGCGAAGGGTCGTCATGGTGAGCGCCGCGTCCTCGCTCGCGGCGTTCTTTCTTGCTTGGGGCATAGTGGGCATTATAGCCCCTGGCGCCCCCCCCTCACCCCCCCCCCTATAACGTAACGCCCCTCCACCCCCCCCCCCCCAGTGCGCTCTGGGCACTGCCGCCGAGCGCA